GCTGAGAGTGGCCTTAAGTACAGATAGACTCCAGGTGCTGAGTTTGCCTAAGACCAGAGTGAACTCCAGGATGATGGAGAGTGGCCTTAAGTACAGAGAGACTCCAGGTGCTGAGTGTGAGTGCCTTAAGTGACTGAGGGACTCCATGTGCCTGATGTGGGCCCTTTTGTACAGAGAGACGCACAGGTGCTGAAGCTTGGCCTTAAGTGACATGAGATGACTCCAGGTGCTGAGAGTGGCCTTAAGTACAGAGAGACTCCAGGTGCTGAGCGTGGCCTTAAGTACAGAGAGACTCCAGGTGCTGAGCGTGAGGCCTTAATGGACAGTGTGAACATCCGGTGCGGAGAGTGGCCTTAATTACAGAGTGACTCTCAGGTGCTGAGCGTGGCCTGTAAGTACAGAGTGACTCTCAGGTGCTGAGAAGTTGGCCTAAGTACAGATAGGACTCGAGTGCTGAGTGAGGCCTGTAATATACAGAGATACTCCAGGTGCTGAAGAGTGCCTATTAGTACAGAGATGACTCCAGGTGCTGAGGGTGGCCTTCAAGTACAGAGTGAACTCCAGGTGCCTGAGTGTGGCCTTAAGTCCAGAGATGACTTCCATGTCTGAGAGTGCCTTAGTACAGGAGTAGACATCCAGGGTGCTGAGTGATGGCCTTAAGTCCAGAGTGACTCCAGTGCTTAGTGTAGCCTTTAGTTCAGGAGTGGACCCAGGGGCTGAGTGTGGCCTTAAGTACAGAGTGACCGCCAGGTGCTGAGTGTGGCCTTAAGTACAGAGTGACTCCAGGTGCTGAGAGTGGCCTTAAGTACAGAGTGACTCCAGGTGCATCGCTGCTCCTCCAATCAGAACCTGGGTCACGGAAGGCGGGAGGGCCAGTGGTTCACCAATCACAGGCCAGGGATCTCAAAGAAGGAGGGGTTGACACACGCACACACACACGGCCGTAACAAATGTGACATCACCATAGTGGATATGAACATTAGCGGAGCTGGAGCCGGTTTCCTTATATGGGCATGCTGAAGTTTGTTGCCTCTGATTGGTCAATCCTTATGGCTCATATTGGGCGGCACGGTGGCTGAGTGGTTAGCACTCTCACTTCTCAGCAAGAAGGTCCTGGGTTTGAATCCCGGTCGGAACAGGGCCTTTCTGAGTGGAGTTTGCATGTTCTCCCCGTGTCTGCGTAGGTTTCCTCCAGGTGCTCCGGTTTCCCCTACCACTAAAAACATGTACAATAGGTCTGTGCCTCCTGTACTGGCCCCTCCCATCTCTGTAGTCAGAGACTAATGCCCATGACTGTAAACCGCTTTGACTCTGGTCTGTGAAAGGCGGTATTTAAATAAACATTACTTGCTCTTATCTGGATTTACAAAGATCTCAAAACAAACACCAAGATGACAGAGGGAACTAAACCACTTTGTTTTAGGCCCAAAATGGTGAGCGTGAGACAATAGAGCAATAGCCAGACTGCGTCCATGGGCACTTCCCTAGGGGGTTAGTATTGTCCTATATTCAGTCTAAGGTTAAACCCAAAGATCTATTCACTTCTACCTCATACCCCAGTACTGCATTTCTTCTATAAATATGGAAACTATACAGACAAACATTGCAGTGAAAACACCGACTCAGAAAATTATCTTAATCATTTATTATCTTTGTTTTAATGACTTTACAAATATGATACTTCTGCAATTCCACTTGAACTGTGCAACACAATGGCATGGACCGGCGAACGCTGAGGCCTGTGACGGCTGGGACCCGGAGGTCACAGCGCCCCCTGCTGTTCGCGCAGGGCTCTAGTGTCTTTGGAGGAGGCCGCTGCACCGGGTCTGGGGTGGGCCTGCTTGCTTGTCCCTCGGAAAAAGAATTGGGGTGAAGGCGCCATGGCTTCTCAAAACACCATAACACAGGAGAACAATGGCATGCAAGACTTGCGACCACACCCAGGGTTTTTATTTGTATATATTTTTAAATAGAACTCTTCTTTTTAGTAGATAAAAGGTTTTGGACAAGCGACGAGCCCTCACGAACACTCAGCCAAGCCTCGACATTAAAATAAAAATGGCATTGTACATTTGCACCCATTTTCAACACAACTCATTCAACAATAGCTGGCTTCTTTTGCAGAAAGTCCTGGAGAACTCAATACATTTCACATTTAAAATCTGCTTTACTCCTGCTCAAGCCCCGTTTCCACCGCCTCGGCTCTACTCTACCCTGATACGACCGGTCCTGCTTAACCAGTACCAGGTCTTACTTTAATCTCTCTTGGTCCTTGTTCTATTCAGACCTAGTGTTAAAATGACAACAAATGGCTGCGGCGTTTCCAAGGATTTCTCCCGGATACCAATTTGTAGGGTAGGGTAGGAGTAGGGTAGGGTAAGAGTAGAGTAAAGGTTGAGTAGGGTAAGAGTAGGGTAAGAGTAGAGTAGAGTAGGGTAGGGTAGAGTAGAGTAGAGTAGGGTAGAGTAGAGTAGGGTAGAGTAGAGTAGGGTAAGAGTAGAGTCAGGGCTTTGGACCACAGATGTGCTTCTTACATTTTGGATTTGAGGGTAAATGTCTGAATAATTGCCCCGCTCTGGTCGAGTTATTGCAAATGAAGTGATAAACTCCAAACAGCAAAATATTCACACTTAATTTTGGCACAAGCGTCGTAGAAATGAGAGAAATGCTTAAATGTAGGTGAAGGACTCAAAAAAATAAAAACAAACCACACCATATTAAAAAACAAAAGAAAAAATATTAAGACATTAAACCATCAGAGCAAAAAAATAAAACGCATTTTCAATTTAAACTTGCAGCGAACCCTGCAGGTGGTCTGTGCCGAGGGGCAGGGGACGAGAGGAAGGGGCCGAGGGGCAGGGGCCGAGAGGAAGGGGCCGAGGGGCAGGGGCCGAGAGGAAGGGGCCGAGGGGCAGGGGCCGAGAGGAAGGGGCCGAGGGGCAGGGGCCGAGGGGCAGGGTCCGAGGGGCAGGGTCCGAGGGGCAGGGTCCGGTTCAAACCTGCAGCGTGGGGACCTTGCAGGTGTTCAGCTGTGTCTCCTTCATTGCTTCGTTGCTTCTGTCAGTGACCTATTTTAAAAACCACACCAGCGCGACACAAAACAACATTCAAACAGAGAAATGGGCCGCGCTCGTCCAAGTTCTCGTGTGCTTTTGGTGGAGCTCCGGCTCTCGCTGAGGTACCCGACTGCGCCGTGTCTTTTTTTTCTTTTGTCCTCGTTTCTCAAGTCTCTTTTCGCCGCTGCACGTCTGAAAGAGGCGTTTTGTGTGAGGAGTCTGTAGAACAGAGCAAACCAAAAGAACAGAAAAATCTACTACAAGGCGATGTCCTGCAGCCCTTTTTTTAGTCGCCGCCGGATAGAAAAATCAACTCCGGAGAAAAGCAGCTTAACAAAAACGAGGACTACATCGTTTTGAAATAATATAAAGTTAAATCCGCGGCCGTGGCTGTGACCTCGACGCTAAAGTACTCGCATTAGTAGTAGACCAAGAACTAAAAAAGGTGAGGATTTTCTGTAGTGACGTCTGCGGTGGGCCTGGGAGGGGGGCTCTGTTCAGTCGGCGTAGTGCATGATGGACTCGACGTAGTTGCCAGGGAACAGGCCCGTGGTGCCGTTCATGACGCCCTCGTACCAGCCGTCGTCGTTCTTCTTGATGACGTAGATGATGGCGCCCTCCTGGAACGACAGCTCGTCCTCTTTGTCGCGAGCGTAGTCGTAGATGGCCACCACTGCGGGGGAAGGGCACACGGTCAAGGGCGTAACCAAGGGCGTAACCAAGTGTGACCAAGGCCGTGACCAAGGCCGTGACCAAGGCCGTGACCAAGGCCGTGACCAAGGCCGTGACCAAGGCCGTGACCAAAGCCGTGACCAAGGCCGTGACCAAAGCCGTGACCGAGGCCGTGACCGAGGCCGTGACCAAGGGCGTGACCAAGGGCGTGACCAAGGCCGTGACCAAGGCCGTGACCAAGGGCGTGACCGAGGCCGTGACCAAGGGCGTGACCGAGGCCGTGACCAAGGGCGTGACCAAGGCCGTGACCAAGGCCGTGACCAAGGCCGTGACCAAGGCCGTGACCAAGGCCGTGACCAAGGCCGTGACCAAAGCCGTGACCAAAGCCGTGACCAAGGCCGTGACCAAGGCCGTGACCAAGGCCGTGACCAAAGCCGTGACCAAAGCCGTGACCAAGGCCGTGACCAAGGCCGTGACCAAGGCCGTGACCAAAGCCGTGACCAAGGCCGTGACCAAAGCCGTGACCAAGGCCGTGACCAAGGCCGTGACCGAGGCCGTGACCAAGGGCGTGACCAAGGGCGTGACCAAGGCCGTGACCAAGGGCGTGACCAAGGGCGTGACCGAGGCCGTGACCGAGGCCGTGACCGAGGCCGTGACCGAGGCCGTGACCAAGGCCGTGACCAAGGCCGTGACCAAGGCCGTGACCAAGGCCGTAACTAAGTGTAACCAATCCCGTAACCAAGGCTACATCAGGACCACCAAGACGACACACAAAGGTTACACTTGACAACTGCTAACATAATCATCTTATCGGTTCTAACGATTCAAAGCATTTTGATGTTGTACAAAAAAAACTATTTAGAATTTCACTACAAAATAAGTTATTTCTAAAAGTCACTGAACGACTGCTCGCCGGCTGTGGGCGACAAACCTTTCTCCATGTAGGTCCGCGGGGCCCAGGGCGGGTCCTCCTCGGCGTATGGGTCGCTGTACTCCACCACGGCCGACTCGTCTTCGTCCTCCTCATCTTCGTAGTCTTCAGGAGGGGGAGGGGGCGGGGTGGGCTCCTCAAACACCGGCTCGTCTGAGGGCGGGGGCGGCGGGGGCACGTCCGAGACTGTGGGTCAGGAGAAGGACGGGTCAGAGAGCAGAGGGGGCAGGGGTCGGATACGTCCACAGACGTGAGAGATGGTACTACTGTTTAATAACTGGAATAGTTTATGCACGACTGGATAATCGTTCATGACTTTTGTGAATCACCGTCTGTCTTAATGTAACAAAACATGGCACCAGAATATACAATAAAAGTGATCTTTATTTACTCATTTTTTTATGTAGCCGTCACAATAGGTTTCATTGCTCTAAAAGCCCAGCAGGGGGCGGTGTTTCAGATGTATGTAATTGTGGCAGGACTTACTGGAGCGATAACAATGTATTGCATTAGATTACTCCATTATTAAAAGCTTTGATGAATTGTAAGATGTCTTTGAAAGGATGAGCCAGAAGAAAAAGAGTGAATAAATTAAGTGCTAAATTACAATTGTTATTTATTCTGACAAAGTTACGGTCACACAGAGATTAGAGATGCACTTTGTTTTGTAAATCAGTGAAACTCTTCTCTACCAAATACACTTTCCTTGCTTTTCAAACCGATTACTGCTACTACTGCACTACTACTACTGCTGCTACTGCGGCTGCTGCACTACTACTACTACCACTACTACTACTGCACTACTACTACTGCACTACTACTACTGCACTACTGCACTACTACTACTACTACTGCACTACTACACTACTACTACTACTACTGCACTACTACACTACTACTACTGCACTACTACTACTGCTACTGCTGCTACTGCACTACTGCACTACTACTACTACTACTGCACTACTACACTACTACTACTGCACTACTACTACTACTACTGCTACTGCTGCTACTGCTACTACTGCTGCTACTGCTACTACTGCTGCTACTGCTACCGCTACCCGTGACTGATAGCATTCATGCACCACTTACTGGTCTCCTGCACACGTGCCACAAAGCCCATCAGGGGCAGCTGTGGGGTGATCTGCATGGAGGGAGGAGGGGGCGCCATAGGGCCTAGTGCCAGGAAAAACACCGGAGAGAAAGAGTTAGAACAAGAGAAGCGGCACATCTGTAAAGGGCAGACAGGTCTGCGGTCAGAGCTTTCAGTGGTATTTCAGAATCACATTCAACTCGCCCTTTACAGATGAACAGAAACATTATGTATTGGTGAATAATTGAAATCAATACGTCAATTGCATTTCCACTTTCATGCCCCCAGATGTCTATTGTATCTAATATGTGGGGATGGCTTGAGACCATATTTTATCGAGCCAGCAGGTGGCAGCATTTCTCTCCGAATGGTTTGAAAACAGAGGCACATGTTGTGCCTCTTTTTTCTCAGCTTTCTGGTGATTTCAGTAAAACTTCCCTCTACTCGACGGAGGAAACAAGCTAGAAACAAAATTCTTTTTGCTGATGAAAGTAGACAGTCCATTCTTTCAGAAAAAACCATCAGCAACAGCTGGGAATATGGAAGTCCCTGTTCTGAAACGGGCTGGCAGTGAATGAGTTAATGAATTTAAGTTGTCTATGCCTCTAACCTGTGTGTGTCGTCACAGCTGGTAACGCCCAAGCATTGAAAGCCATGGATCCATGCCACAGATACTCGCCTATGCCCTCTTCTCTCCACTGAACTATCGTAGCGCCAATGAAATTTTTTTATTTATATATAATATATATATATTATATATATATATATATATATATATGCGCACACTGGTACTACTCTCATACTCTCTGTACACCGCCTTGTCATCTTGAATATCCGTGAAAAAATACTAAATAGTAAACAACTTACAGCCGGTTGAAACTTACCCGCTCTGACGTCACCAAGGGAGAAGAGGCTGTGAATTTATTTAGTCTCTAAGGGCGTTGCTATGGTCTAATCTCGCTTTGGGGGGATCAGACAAAAAAACACAATTGATTTTAGGTAAGGTAAAGGTTTTGAAACCTTTAGTAGTTCTCTTCTAGTATAACATTTAAAAGTGTATTTCTAAATCAATCAAACCCTGCATAAGGTCTTTAACATATCTCTCCAAAGCCAACGCAGATGAGCAGACTGGTCAAGAGAAGCAAACACAGACTAACTAGGGATGGACCGATGCCGACGAGTGACGAGAGTAAAGTGGACTGTACTTTGTGTAAAACAAATGGATCAAACACCTGAAAACTCACCACCACACGGAGTATAGCACCTTTGCTAGCACCGGAGCACAAACACAACCAACTCTACAAACTTGAGACGTTTTTCTTCATTTAATTCTGATATTCTAAAAACGGCAGATTGGTACAAGTGGACAATGACAGTGGCTTTTATTGATGACTGTTAAAAGAATTGATAAAAAGGTTTGATTTTTAAAGCATTTTCTTATTGTTAAATAGGGCTGCAACGATTAGTCGACAAAAATTGATAATAGAAATAGTCGACAATAAATTCCATTGTCGACTATTGTCGCCAGACGTGTTTTTCCAACAGAGTGAGGCCTCCCCCGTCTCACAAACAATCTCTGCCGAGAGTCGCACATGCCAAAGAGCGTCTATCGAGTGGAAACGTAAAGGCGGCGTTCGTCAGCTCCATGGATTAATTATAATAACGACCAGCGCCGCGTAGAAAAACTTCTAAAGTTTGGGAGCATTGTCTGGATACGGCCAATAAAGAGTTTACTTGCAAGGTTTGCAAAGCACACACTGCGTATCACGGCAGCTCCTCGGTGATGCACCAACATTTGAAGAGAAAGCAAGAGAGAGACCATGATCCCGGAGCCTGGCCGCGGCGTAGTGAATGACAGCGGTTCTGTGACGGCGAGCGCACGGCCAAAGCGAAGACATCATGTGACCAGTATCATGTGACCAGTATCATGTGACCAGTATCATGTGACCAGTATCATGTGACCAGTATCATGTGACCAGTATCATGTGACCAGTGCGGATCTTTGAACAACCTGTGGATGTGATAAACACAGCGCTGTGAGAAGCTGAAGTCTCTGAGCCTCTGGAAGTGTCCCCCGTGTCTCCTCCTGTAGCCCAGAAACTAAAACTCACTACATTAAAGCTGGGGTACCTATATTTCCCTTGCATTCATAATGTATCTTGGTAGTGCCCAAACGTAAAATAAATAACTATCACAGGCTCCTCACAGCAGCAGGAGAACCATTGATTTCAATGTAATTTCAAAACGTTCTACCGGTCATTATTTTCTATTACGGACCTCTCAAAACAATAATGACCGCTGCCCTTTGGCAACGCACTCTCTGCTTGTCTTTCAAATGCGTGGATAACTCCCCAAGTAGTTCCGGCCACTCCGGAGCTAGCCACGCTCAATCAACGCAAATACCAATCAATCAACGCAATGAAATATTAATCGGAGAGTACATTATACCGTTTACGTTTTCATGACAAAAACACTGATGTAATGCGAGAAAAGGGGATCCCGAAAAACCCAGAAGTAGATACGGCACATTTTAAGATACGGCACATTTTAGGAACATTTGCAGAGGATGGAATTATGGATTTAGGTTAAGTTTATGTTTGGGTCACTCACCGCTGATGTTCAGGATTCTGTGTTCAGTTTTCATGCAGTTCCAGAGAGTTCTAGTTTGGAAGTTGTTAGCCTAACTGTTGCTAGCATAGCCACAGAAAAACCTTTGGGAACTATTTTATTTTCTGTCATTAAATAAACCTTTGGGCATTCCTAAAAGTGACTGAAGTTTATGTTGTGTGTTCTGTTGGTATAAAGCCGTATAATAAGCGGGATAACTTATATTACGCAGGTCATTATCGGAAAATAAGTACCTTCAGGGCGGAAGCAGACCGCTTCGCCCTGTCGGTACTTATTTTCCGATAATGACCTGCGTAATATACGTTATCCCTTACATAAATAATTGAGAGAGAACCATGTTAGTCAATATTTTACTTTTTGGGCTGAGAGCGGATTTTTTTAGCTCAAAAGATGTAAGGAGGGCGCGAAATGTTTTCCTCTACCTAAGGGGGGCCTGGCAAACAATTGAGAAGCAATGGTCTATATTGACCAAGCACTGTGCCAAATTGGTCTTAGATATCCATCCATCCATTTTCTTCTGCTTCATCCGTTGCCGGGTCGCGGGGGCAGCAGTCTAAGCAGAGACGCCCAGACTTCCCTCTCACACACTTCCTCCAGCTCGTCCGGGGCGACCCCAAGGCGTTCCCAGGCCAGCTGAGAGACATAGTCTCTCCAGCGTGTCCTGGGTCTTCCCCGGGGCCTCCTCCCGATGGGACCGGGCACGTCTACTTATTCACAAGTAGAATAAAAGATGCATTTTTCATTGAAGTACCCATCGTTATTGTGTTTATCATTTGCCACATAATTCTTAATTCTTTATTTTTTATTATCTCTTTCTGACTGTTGCACTGAGACAAAGCAATTTCCAAGTCTGTGACTTCCTGTTACTTACATGGCAATAAAAATGATTCTGAATTAAAGCAACTTCAGGCTAAATATAAGAAAAAAAAAGTAATCATCCGATTAGTCGACTAATTGTTTCAATAGTCGGTGACTAGCAGACTAGTAAAATAGTCGTTAGTTGCAGCCCTAATGTTAAAATGAGAAATAGTTTTATGAACTCCCTGTGTTAACACAAGGTACTCGTATCAGTTATGAAAAAGTGGTATCGGTGCCTCCCTAATATACACACAAACACACACCTTGGGTCTGGGCGAAGTGAGGCCCTCCGTTCAGCTGGTTCTGGACCATGTTGTTTGGCTGCCCCGTGACCGAGGAGGGCCGGCGGTACGGCAGGGAGCCTCCCACGGGGGGGTTCTGGGGCTGCTGCTGCTGAGCGGGTCGGTTCATACTGAAGAACTGGGCACCTGTGAGGATACCGACACGTCAGAACTCCAGAAGAACCAAAGTGTGACACCAGCGCATGAGCTTCACATGAAATGACAGCAGGGGGCGCCATATCCAAGGCCATTTGCAGGTTGGAACTACATAGGCTGTAGACCCAGGACTGAGGCTGTAGACCTAGGACTCAATACTTGTTTGTTCCATTGTCAAATTACTCAAAACAAGAGAAATGTTCTAAAACTCCAAAAGACACCTTTTTGTTTGAAAAGAACTTAAACGATTGAGTCTTTGCCTTTTGCATCTGTGGACAGAGCCTGAACCAGCGGCTGAGATGTGTGTTTTACATAAACACACATTGCCTTAAACACTGCATTCAGACGGAAAACGTTTTTCCAATTTCTCCCACTATTGTGTCCAATAACCCGGAGCATGAGTCCGGTCCCGTCTCACTGAACAGAACATTCAAGAATCTCCCAGGATTAATTTAATGCTCAGCGCTTCCAAAATATGACTTCTAAGATATGACTTCTAAGATATGACTTCTAAGATATGACTTCTAAGATATGACTTCTAAGATATGACTTCCAAGATATGACTTCTAAGATATGACTTCTAAGATATGACTTCTAAGATATGACTTCTAAGATATGACTTCTAAGATATGACTTCTAAGATATGACTTCTAAGATATGACTTCTAAGATATGACTTCCAAGATATGACTTCTAAGATATGACTTCTAAGATATGACTTCTAAGATATGACTTCCAAGATATGACTTCCAAGATATGACTTCTAAGATATGACTTCTAAGATATGACTTCTAAGATATGACTTCCAAGATATGACTTCTAAGATATGACTTCTAAGATATGACTTCTAAGATATGACTTCCAAGATATGACTTCTAAGATATGACTTCTAAGATATGACTTCTAAGATATGACTTCTAAGATATGACTTCTAAGATATGACTTCTAAGATATGACTTCTAAGATATGACTTCTAAGATATGACTTCTAAGATATGACTTCCAAGATATGACTTCTAAGATATGACTTCTAAGATATGACTTCTAAGATATGACTTCTAAGATATGACTTCCAAGATATGACTTCTAAGATATGACTTCTAAGATATGACTTCCAAGATATGACTTCTAAGATATGACTTCTAAGATATGACTTCCAAGATATGACTTCCAAGATATGACTTCCAAGATATGACTTCTAAGATATGACTTCTAAGATATGACTTCTAAGATATGACTTCTAAGATATGACTTCTAAGATATGACTTCTAAGATATGACTTCCAAGATATGACTTCTAAGATATGACTTCTAAGATATGACTTCTAAGATATGACTTCTAAGATATGACTTCTAAGATATGACTTCTAAGATATGACTTCTAAGATATGACTTCTAAGATATGACTTCTAAGATATGACTTCCAAGATATGACTTCTAAGATATGACTTCTAAGATATGACTTCCAAGATATGACTTCTAAGATATGACTTCTAAGATATGACTTCTAAGATATGACTTCTAAGATATGACTTCTAAGATATGACTTCTAAGATATGACTTCTAAGATATGACTTCCAAGATATGACTTCTAAGATATGACTTCTAAGATATGACTTCTAAGATATGACTTCTAAGATATGACTTCCAAGATATGACTTCTAAGATATGACTTCTAAGATATGACTTCTAAGATATGACTTCCAAGATATGACTTCTAAGATATGACTTCTAAGATATGACTTCTAAGATATGACTTCTAAGATATGACTTCTAAGATATGACTTCTAAGATATGACTTCTAAGATATGACTTCTAAGATATGACTTCTAAGATATGACTTCCAAGATATGACTTCTAAGATATGACTTCTAAGATATGACTTCCAAGATATGACTTCTAAGATATGACTTCTAAGATATGACTTCCAAGATATGACTTCTAAGATATGACTTCTAAGATATGACTTCTAAGATATGACTTCTAAGATATGACTTCTAAGATATGACTTCTAAGATATGACTTCTAAGATATGACTTCTAAGATATGACTTCTAAGATATGACTTCTAAGATATGACTTCTAAGATATGACTTCTAAGATATGACTTCTAAGATATGACTTCTAAGATATGACTTCTAAGATATGACTTCTAAGATATGACTTCTAAGATATGACTTCTAAGATATGACTTCTAAGATATGACTTCTAAGATATGACTTCTAAGATATGACTTCTAAGATATGACTTCTAAGATATGACTTCTAAGATATGACTTCTAAGATATGACTTCTAAGATATGACTTCTAAGATATGACTTCTAAGATATGACTTCTAAGATATGACTTCTAAGATATGACTCTCAAGATATGACTTCTAAGATATGACTTCTAAGATATGACTTCAAGATATGACTTCTAAGATATGACTTCTAAGATATGACTTCTAAGATATGACTTCTAAGATATGACTTCTAAGATATGACTTCTAAGATATGACTTCTAAGATATGACTTCTAAGATATGACTTCAAGATATGACTTCTAAGATATGACTTCTAAGATATGACTTCTAAGATATGACTTCTAAGATATGACTTCTAAGATATGACTTCTAAGATATGACTTCTAAGATATGACTTCTAAGATATGACTTCTAAGATATGACTTCTAAGATATGACTTCTAAGATATGACTTCTAAGATATGACTTCTAAGATATGACTTCTAAGATATGACTTCTAAGATATGACTTCTAAGATATGACTTCTAAGATATGACTTCTAAGATATGACTTCTAAGATATGACTTCTAAGATATGACTTCTAAGATATGACTTCTAAGATATGACTTCTAAGATATGACTTCTAAGATATGACTTCTAAGATATGACTTCTAAGATATGACTTCTAAGATATGACTTCTAAGATATGACTTCCAAGAATATGACTTCTAAGATATGACTTCTAAGATATGACTTCTAAGATATGACTTCAAGATATGACTTCTAAGATATGACTTCTAAGATATGACTTCTAAGATATGACTTCTAAGATATGACTTCTAAGATATGACTTCTAAGATATGACTTCTAAGATATGACTTCTAAGATATGACTTCTAAGATATGACTTCTAAGATATGACTTCTAAGATATGACTTCTAAGATATGACTTCTAAGATATGACTTCTAAGATATGACTTCTAAGATATGACTTCTAAGATATGACTTCTAAGATATGACTTCTAAGATATGACTTCTAAGATATGACTTCTAAGATATGACTTCTAAGATATGACTTCTAAGATATGACTTCTAAGATATGACTTCTAAGATATGACTTCTAAGATATGACTTCTAAGATATGACTTCTAAGATATGACTTCTAAGATATGACTTCTAAGATATGACTTCTAAGATATGACTTCTAAGATATGACTTCTAAGATATGACTTCTAAGATATGACTTCTAAGATATGACTTCTAAGATATGACTTCTAAGATATGACTTCTAAGATATGACTTCTAAGATATGACTTCTAAGATATGACTTCCAAGATATGACTTCTAAGATATGACTTCTAAGATATGACTTCCAAGATATGACTTCTAAGATATGACTTCTAAGATATGACTTCTAAGATATGACTTCTAAGATATGACTTCTAAGATATGACTTCTAAGATATGACTTCTAAGATATGACTTCTAAGATATGACTTCTAAGATATGACTTCTAAGATATGACTTCTAAGATATGACTTCTAAGATATGACTTCTAAGATATGACTTCTAAGATATGACTTCTAAGATATGACTTCTAAGATATGACTTCTAAGATATGACTTCTAAGATATGACTTCTAAGATATGACTTCTAAGATATGACTTCTAAGATATGACTTCTAAGATATGACTTCTAAGATATGACTTCTAAGATATGACTTCTAAGATATGACTTCTAAGATATGACTTCTAAGATATGACTTCTAAGATATGACTTCTAAGATATGACTTCCAAGATATGACTTCTAAGATATGACTTCTAAGATATGACTTCTAAGATATGACTTCTAAGATATGACTTCTAAGATATGACTTCTAAGATATGACTTCTAAGATATGACTTCTAAGATATGACTTCTAAGATATGACTTCTAAGATATGACTTCTAAGATATGACTTCTAAGATATGACTTCTAAGATATGACTTCTAAGATATGACTTCTAAGATATGACTTCTAAGATATGACTTCTAAGATATGACTTCTAAGATATGACTTCTAAGATATGACTTCTAAGATATGACTTCTAAGATATGACTTCTAAGATATGACTTCTAAGATATGACTTCTAAGATATGACTTCCAAGATATGACTTCTAAGATATGACTTCTAAGATATGACTTCTAAGATATGACTTCTAAGATATGACTTCCAAGATATGACTTCTAAAATATGACTTCTAAGATATGACTTCTAAGATATGACTTCTAAGATATGACTTCTAAGATATGACTTCTAAGATATGACTTCTAAGATATGACTTCTAAGATATGACTTCTAAGATATGACTTCTAAGATATGACTTCTAAGATATGACTTCTAAGATATGACTTCTAAGATATGACTTCTAAGATATGACTTCTAAGATATGACTTCTAAGATATGACTTCTAAGATATGACTTCTAAGATATGACTTCTAAGATATGACTTCTAAGATATGACTTCTAAGATATGACTTCTAAGATATGACTTCAAGATATGACTTCCAAGATATGACTTCTAAGATATGACTTCTAAGATATGACTTCTAAGATATGACTTCTAAGATATGACTTCTAAGATATGACTTCTAAGATATGACTTCTAAGATATGACTTCCAAGATATGACTTCTAAGATATGACTTCTAAGATATGACTTCTAAGATATGACTTCTAAGATATGACTTCTAAGATATGACTTCTAAGATATGACTTC